TCTCAATTGATATATTTATGTTTAATGTAGTTATATGTTGTAAGTAAAAAAAATATTATAATATAACACATGTAAGTCGCACAAATAAAAAAGTGTCATACTAAATATATAATAATATATATATATATTTATAAAAGGTATTAAAATTTTTAATTACTTTTTCTCATTAATTTTATATTTTAAAAAAGAAAAAATTAGCAAGCACCCGTGTAATACACGGGCGTTGTACTAGTTGTCAATTGAAATCCCAAAATTCAACATTCATGCTTTTGCAGGACTAAGGATGGTTAAAGATCAAAGAAATAAGAGAAAATTTTGCTGACGTACCGTGACATCATAAATTATTTGCAAATCTACTAGATTGTTTTTTTTTTTTTTTTAATTGCAGATATGAATTAAAATGCTACAAGTATTTGCATATATGCTACACTATTCAATATTAAATTATTTCTTTTGTTAAATATTTTTTATGATATGGTAAGTTATGAGATGATAACTACAGATTTTTTTTGAATGTAGATACCTTCCCAACTTCCCATCACCTTTCTCGGTTCTCCCGCCTCTCAATCAATATTCTTCTCTCTCACACTCAATTCTTCACTTTTTGACCTTTTTTTTATTTGTTATCTCCATCGTGAGTGGCGGAGGTCGCCGGATGGCGAGCTTTAGCCGAGGGCAGTAAGAACTCGATCTATCGGGTACCCGCGGTAGAATCTCGATTATTACAACCAACGTGCAATGACACGAGTTGGAAGCGATGAAGACGACTAAGGGCAGAGAGTAGTAGGGTGTAGTTTTGAGCCATTAATCGGCTAATTTAGGGTCACGAGAGGAGGGAGAAAGAGGACGACTGGGGATGAGAGAGAAGGAACATAATGTGTGTAACGCGATTATATTATGTATATGTGCACGAATAATATACTTCCAGTATATCAGGCTGTAACTCTGTTGTTGTTTTTAATGCTGTATATGCGATGTTTATATGTTGTATATGTTGTGTGTATAAGCAGTATATTTTCCATTATACTATACATAAACAGTATATTAATGGAATATAAACGTTATATAAACAAAATAGCCGAACATCCACCCATCTAGGTCGTGCGACCATCGGTCTCTGCCAGCCTCCATTAGTCCAAGCCCAGGGGCGCAACTACTCGCCTATGTGTTTTCTGAGACGTGCCGCAGCAATCCGCCATGAATCTAAGACACCGCTTGGTCGTAGTCGTGCCGTAAATCCGTTGAACGAGAGAGAGAGAGAGAGAGAGAGAGAGAGAGAGAGAGCATTTTTAAGGGTGATATGTTGTTATAATGTAAATCCTTTCAATTATGGTATTTCACTTTATAGTGCGACCCTTCAATTACGGGATTTAGTTAGAAAACTATATATCAATGTTGTGTTTCAGTTGTTTTGTAGATTTTTTGTGGGCAAGAGGTAACCGACCTACCCGACTCGGGTCGTTCTCAAAGGAAGGCTATTCGGAACTTGATTAACTATTTAATTGTCCAAATCACAAAAAGAGAAAATAAATCGTAAACATTCTAATCAATTGGTTCAGAGTTGAATTAACACTAGACAAGCAAACGATCACGAGCAATTGCAAATAACGAGCAAGTAGCGAAATTAAACTACCAGAATCTTCATGCCATCAACACAACGAACAGAAAACAAATAACGAAGAGAAATATGCAAGCTATGAGCATTAGGTAATTAACCATAACCCTAAGTCATTAAACTCTAATTGAGTCTTAACCCTTAATCGAGATAGGTAAGAGATTAATCCCTACAATCACTCAAGCAAGCAACAAAAACAATCAAGTCCCAACTTTTCATCCATCATCCACAATACTCAAATTTACCTTAATAAGCATTATAAGTAAAAACGAGGCAAAAACAGAAGTAAAGAGCTTTAAAGATAAATACCCAATCTTCTATTGCGTAGTGGATGAAAACCAGATTCAAAAGTTTGGAACTTGTACAAAAAGAAAGTCACTGGAAAAATCGCTGGAAGATGACATAAGCTCCTTAAGAACCATAGACTAGAGAGGAAATATAAAACATAAGTCAAGTTCCAAAAAAGGAAAAATAGTATAATGAGGCTAGATGTTCCAAAAAAAGGGCCAAATGTATTTTTACTCCAGCTTAAACACACACACAAACACACACACACACACACACACACACATACACACTATTTCGTGCACATTAAATGAAACACTCGCGAGTTCGATGAGTTAAATCGAACTCGCGAGTTGCAGCTAGAATTCCGCGGGCAAACTTCTCTGGCAAAGTGAACTCTAGGGTTGAGGGTTTTTGAGGGCGCAAAAGACAGGATTCGCGGGCAATCGACATCTGGGCGCAGGGGCGTTCCCGTAGGCGCGCACAAGGAAACTCACAGGCATGAGGCCATTCGCGGGCCTGAGTGAAAGAACTCGCGAGGTAGTTGCGTTCCACGGGCACGGGAGAAGATTCACGCGTGCGAGTTCCCGGGACTGAAGCTGGCTGCTGGCTCGCGAAATGGGGGCATCTCGCAAAATGGATTTCCGCTGGCGCGAGTCTTCAAAGCTGAAAGTGTTGGGCTCGGAATGTATACAGGTGGCTATGGCTCGACTTCAAAAGGCTCTAAATCATCGTACCTTTCTCCGAACGACTTGAAACTTTGACTCCCTTAATCAACTCCTTTCCTCTTCGTCATGGAAAGCATAACAAAAATTTCACCGAACTGCTTCTATGAATAAATACTCGGGACGGTGCATCAGGGCATGACTATTTTCTCCTTCCGAGCCTACAAAACACCAAAACGCACAAGAGAGATGGAAAAATACACGAATACAACTCAAAAACGAAAAGCTACTAAAAATAAACAAAAATGGACCGGGACACAACACAAACCGAACCTAAAAAGACTCAACCCAAACAAATAAAAACACAAGAAAAACAAACAAAAACATAACAGACATTGGTATCTAACAACTATCTAATTATTTTGCTTTACTTTCGCAATGTGCAAATAATTTTAGAATTATGTAAACTTGCAATTTTTTTGTTCAATCACGGTACAAATGTAAATAGGCCAAGAAATAATCTTTCATTAAGTTGAAAAACCGTAAAACACTGCGACTGAAAAAATAATATATATATATATATGTATTTTGTTATAACCTTACAATTTTTCTTTTGTTTTTCACGAACATTCCATTTCTATACTATTTGTGTGATTACATTTTTGGATACTTCGTTTGTGGTGATTTTGATAGTTTTTATGTGTGATGCATGTAGTGGTAGGGATGAAAACGATCGGCATAAGGCTCAACCATTTCCACTTTTATATTTTTTTCTCGAAAACGAAAATGATACGATAATGTCGGAAATGAAAACGACATCGGTATTCCGGTAATATCGAAAACGAAACTATCCGATCGAAAATACATCGATAACGATCTAAATATATTAAACGGTATTTAAAAAACGATAAACACACCGCATTATAAAATATAGCATTAAAACATTAATTGAAATATTCTCATGGCATAATAGTAGCAAAATCCAAATTAAAATCCACACCATTTGCTATAACAAAATCCATACAAATTCCAATAACTAGCAATTGAATTGTGACTTGTCCACCAAATTCTCATGGAATAATAGTAGCAATTGCAATTTGAAACATGAAATGGGAGCAATTAGGTGAGAAATCAACCATGGAACCACCAAATCCACAAAAAAACCACAACAAACGAAACCCAGAATTCAAAACACAAATCACTAAAACAATGATGGGAGTTAAACATAATATATAAACTTGTCCTTCACAGCATGTTGTCGTCTGCCTACAACTGAATCTCAGGCAAATCATCATTATCAATTGCCACATCGTCATCACGTCCCATTTCTGAGAATTCATCCTACAATTTGTAATGGAAAAATATTTTAACACTCATACAAATATTTCACGAAAAGAATAATAAAAAGGCCTGAAAAGAATTGAAATCATTATCTTCACACTAGAACTATATGAAATGAGATGATGCAATATTTGTAAATTGTAAAATAAATTCAAATCATAATTTCTCTAACTCATATCTTCATTTTTCCTTGCGTGCAAAATATTTACTTGACTCTTCATTCTTGTGAAATATTGAAACAACACTGAAATCTGTCAGCATATTCTACTATTATTCAACATATTTGAAATTATTAATATTGCAACTCAAGAAAGAAAGAAGGAACCTCAAACATTAGATTATTCTTAATGGCTTCAAGAACTTCAAGGTCACCAGGCAGCGAAGAAACATTCTTAGAACCTGAAAATAAAAAATTTAAAACCAAGTGCTTAGTGAATTTAAATCTTTGTAATCTAAAACCAACAATCAATTTGAAATTATAACTTTTCTAGTAGCTATTATCCAGTCCTTAGTGCAAACAAGAGCTTGTACCATGTCAGGATCAAGGCGGCTGCGATATGGATCAATGACACGACCACTAGCACTAAATGCAGATTCAGATGCAACGGTTGAAACTTGAACTGCCAATACATCACGAGTAAGCAGGGACAGGACATGATACTCTTCCTTATGAGATTTCCACCATGCTAAAATGTCAAACATGTTCTGGTTGGCTTTAGTGGTCTTCAATGGTGGTTCTGCTAAGTACCTTTCCAATTCACTGAACCCTCCATCAGCATCATATGAGTCACTTTCAAATAGGTAGTTATCAAGCTCATCATCTATGTTGTTGCTGCCCATAAATAGATCTGCCAATGGTTCTTCAACTTCTTTATTGCTCTTTGAAGAAGAAGGTGCAGCAGAAACATAGCATTGAAACATCTTCCTTAGGATACCATTGAATTTTTCAAGTTCAGCTTGGTAGGAATTATTATAGAACTTTCGCAAGTAAAATTTCACAATTCTTCTCTTGAACCTAGGATCAAGAAAATTTGCTACAGCAAGTGCAATATTAGACTTCTTCCAGTACTTATCAAACTTGACACTCATAGCATTTGCCATTCCACAAATAGTGGTATCCTTACTAATGCACCAATCAGCTAGCAATATCTTAATCTCACAAAAGCCTCTAAAAAATAGGTTCGCCGTTGGATAGGTAGTACCAGAGAATATCTCAGTAAGCTCAAAGAATTTTTTCAAGAAGGGAATCAAAATTTGTGCCTTATCCCATTCATGATATGAAGGAGCAATACTACCATACCTGTGGCGGTCAATGGAAGTCAGCCTCGCAAAAGCAGTCTTATAATATAGAGCATCCCTCAACATTAGATATGTTGAATTCCACCTTGTAGAAACATCAAGTGACAGAGAAGGCTTTGTGTCTAACCCACATTCAACAACAAACTTTTGGAACTCCTCCCACTGTATTGTAGACCCCTTAACAACAAGTACAAATGCCCTAATCTTTTCAGTTGCATCAGAAATCACACGCATACCATCTCTAACAACCAAATTCATGATGTGATTAGCACATCTCACATGATAAAATAGACCATCACATACTAAATTGCTATGCTTCTTGAGCTCTATAATTAGATCCTTAACAGCAACCTCATTTGCAAAAGCATTATCCAAAGTCAAAGAGAACATCTTTTTCTCAACATACCATTTTAAAAGACAAGAACTAACCGTATAAGACAACCTCTCACCGGTATGTCGCCTTTCAACATGGAGGAAATTGATATCCTCTTCTGAATTTTCCAATCATCATCAACCCAATGAAGGGTGACACACACATAACCCTTATTCTGGTTGGATTTCCACATATCCATCGTTGCACTAAACCGGCTTTGAATGGTTTTGAAGTATTCATACAACTTATCTCTTTCAGCCGAATAATACTCCATGATTTCCTTTCTAACAGTGACACGAGAATTGAGAGGATAATTTGGACGCATGGATTTGACCCATTCTTGAAAAACTCATGCTCAACCATGTTGAAAGGATACTCATGAACAATCATTGCCTCATAGAACTTCCTCAAGCTAGCTTCTTGATCATATTTATACGGTTGGACTATTGCAATGCCTGTCTCATTATTTTTTTTTGTTGTGAGCTGCTGCTGTCCTTTCTTTATACTGTGGTAATTAGCAAGATGTGTCCAAAAAGCAGTTGTTCCAAAATTGCTCTCAGCTCTATGCTTGCTACTCTTATTTTTACACCCTTTGAAATTGCACTTTGCCCAACATTGTTGTTCCTGCTTGCCATTTACCTCCACTGTCACCCAGTACTTGGTGAAGTATTGCCACACTTCAGATGTGGTTTTCTTTGCCTTCTTGGTAACAGGTTGTTCCTCAACATCACTGTCCACATTGATGGCATCATGACTCTCCTGTGTGGCACCACCATCGGCTGCTTCACTTGGCACTAAACTTCCCTCAAATGAAGGTATCAATGTTGAAGCATGTGCTGGCGATGAAGCAGACACACTATAACTTTGATTTGCGACACTTGAAGGCAACATCATTTTGTTACGAGTACCTATCAAATATCAATCAAAATATTAAAGAAAGAACTAAATTGCAAAAGAACTCCCAAATTAAAAGAAATAAACTCAGAAACAATGTACAATACTAAATAACATAAGTTAATATTTTTCTTAGAACCTTAAATTTTTAATAGCTTATGTTCTGCTTCTGCTTCATAAACCTAAATTATTGTGCTGATTCTTCACATATTTTCCTAAAAACAACAATGAGAGACATGAATTCACTTAAAAATCCCCCCTCCCGCCTGCCCTCCTGTATCTTGTCAATTTCCCTTCACTGAACCAATCATAGCCTTATTCAATTCATCAATTGTGATAAATATAACATTATAAATTTATAACAAATATATTAACAGAAATGATTGTTGATAACACGATAAAATATGCATATGCTTTTTCACTTAAGTTAACACCATAATCTAGTTAAGCCGCTATTCATACATCGCAGCAATTCCTAAAGCCATTGTTGTCTCTCTGGAAACTCAATGATTTTATAAAGAAACAGATTCACAAACAGATTTGCATCAAATTTCATTGTTGTAATGTTGTCCCAAAATTTGCATCAAATTCGCACAAACAAATTCACCAAAATCGCAGCCCTACAGAACACAAATCAAACGAAGCTTACCGGAGTCTTTTGCCGATTTCTGAGCTCCGGTGACAAGACCAGGATGTCCAAGTTTTTCTGGTGGCTCCATAACTATTGGCGTGAATTCAAAGTGAGGTAGGCGGCGACAGCTGGAGCATGTAGCGGGTGGTGCGGTTGCGACGTTGATGGGAGTGGGGCGCGGCGGCGACGAGCAGGTGACGGGAGTGACGACGAGCAGGCGCGGTGAATTGTGATGGCCGTCGGCCGATGGAAGAGATGACAGACTCCCAAACGAGACTCGAGAGTGAAGACCGAACGGGATGAAGGGGATTTAGGCACTGTAGATGCGGTTGCGACGGTGATGGGAGTGGGGCGCGACGGCGACGAGCAAGTGACGGGAGTGGCGAATAGCAGACGACGAGCAGATGGGAGAGACGACAGACTCCCAGACGAGACTCCAGAGTGAAGACCGAAAGGGATGAAGGGGATTTCAGGATTTGGGCACTGTAGAAGGGTTGGGCTGAAGGGGATTTGGGCATTTGGCCCATTTGGAATTTGGATTGGGCTTTATAATTAAAAGTGAGCCTAGTATGGGTTGGGCCGGTATTACCGACGGTAAAATACCATTTAAATACGGTAATTTTCTAAAACGATCGAAAAAGGGCTAAACTGTTTTCGTTTTCATTTTCTAAGTTTTTTACCGTTTCCATTTCTGTTTTTCCGGTTACCGTTTCCGTTTAGCCTCCAAATCTGAAAAAATTTCGAAAACGATTCCCGGTAATCGAAAATTACCGTTCCCGTTTTCATCCCTATGTAGTGGGTTCTTTGTTAAACTATAACGATTATCCAGTTGTTATTTTGTTATGCATAATGATAGTACATTCGTTATCGATTTCTCATTCACAAATATCGTTATAACAAAACAAGTATCGTTATGATGAAAAAACTATCATATTGCTATCTCAAAATTGTTTAACTAATCGGAAACCAAATTACTATTAAATTAAAGTAGTTACTTGTTAAATTCTTCATATTCGAGATAAGCATTATAATATTAAAATTGTAATAATCATATCAAGGTAGAATCATTCTAATATAATATATAACGAAGGTATAAATGTTATAATAGTATTTCATTTACATGGCTGAAAATATAATTATGACGAGAGTAGTATCGTTCGAATGTAATATGTAACACTTATGGAATCATTATAATATTATTTCATCAACACAATTGAAAATATAAATATAACGAGAGTAGTATCGTTCTAATATAATATATAACAAAGGTAGAATCGTTATAGTAGTATTTCATCTACAAGACTGAAAATATAACTATAATGAAAGTAATCATTTTAATGTATCATATAACGACCCAGAGCTGAAAATATAACTATAACGAAAGTTGTATCGTTTTAATGCATTCTACAACGAAGGTAGGGTCGTTATAATATTATTTCATCTATGGAGATCGAAAAATAACTATAACGACAAAAATGTCTTTATTGCATAATTAAGTTTCGTCATGAACATTTCTATAATATATGAACATTTTTTTTTTTTAAAACGGTAATTATTAATGTGACGAGAAAAAATGTTATCGATTAGCTAGTCTTAAAAACTTAGTAGTGTTCAGTTGATTTTTTCCTTATGTATATTTTTGTTACGATAAAAGTATCGTTATTGTATAAGTAAGTTTCGTTATAAGTATTTCGATATATAATATTGAAACATTTTTTTTTCTAGATCGTAATTGTTATGTGACAAAAAGAAAATGTTATCGCTAGGCTATCTTACAAACTTAGAAGTGTTCGGCCAATTTCTTTGCCTCTTTAATCAGTCATGAAGTGGACGATAAAACTCATATTGATGATGTTCCTGGAGCCAAGAACACTTCGACCTAGACAAAGAAGTGCTACCCTTGAACTCTTCCTGAGTGTCGATCTCACTACCAGACCATAAGGAAGTCTGACTAAACGGAGTCATCTCCCCACATCGATCAAGAGAATGGGATTTCCCATTGCCGATCTCTACTAAGTGTTAGTGTGAAAAGGGTTGCCGTCCAAAATCGGTTCCCATCGCCTAAAGGGATAAACCGCTTGCACAAATAGGCCAAGTTGTAAGGACACGTGTCACTATGCATGTCGCTGGTCGCTTAGAAGCCGCCACGCGTCCTGGACATATTATAGTTTAAAGGTCTCCCCACCTATAAATAGCAATGTGTCTAGGTCTAAAAAGAAATCCAATAGACATCCAATTCTTCAGATGTTGCATTTCTATACTTAGATTTCTTTCTATTTTCTTGGTCGTCATATCTTCCGATAAGATCATGTGATAAATAGAGACCCCGGAGCAACCCAAATCCCTAAATAATATACTCGGTGCAGGATTCTTAATTGCCGACAACCCAATTGCCATTTTTCTACTTTCCTCCCATTTTCTTTTTTGAATATCTTTAAAATACTAAATCACACCCTAAATAATACACGATTTCGGTTGTTCAATTGGAGAAAGTAGGGTCAACAAAATAGTGCTAGAATGAGGGCCCGTCGTGCATCTAAATCCTAAAATCTTTCACGCAGCTATCTGAACGAATCCTCACACATCACTCTTTATTTCATTACTATGCCCAAATGGAAGGTGGCACATTCAACCCTCTATGTCCACCCACTCATCTCATCACTTTGTCCAGATCGCAACTCGGTCGACCCTCCACACAAGTTCACTTCTTTTCGTTACTCTATCAAAACAAATACCCGCAAAAACATCTTTAATAAGAAAACCCCACCCTTATGTTTTCTTACCCCACCATAATGCCTGACCTTTTCTATACCTCATAATCAGTTCACCTTCGACAAGAATAAGGATTGGTTAGCTTATCTTTGACGGAAACATTGTGGGGGCAGAGTAATCGATCCAAAATGATAAATGGACGTAGAGTAGCTGGGCAATCTGAAGATGATGTTGAGATGGTTTTTCTTTTTGTCTTCTTCACAGTCCCACTTTTGAATCGCAAAACTGTTTAACTTGGTGATCAACTTACTAGAGTGGGCAGTCATGATCTTGTATTTTTTTTTTTTTTTT